AGGAATGGCATTAGATAGTAATTATTGAGGAAAACTCAGGGCTAAGTACAAAATGTACTTCACTTTTAATAGATTAGATGGAAGAACTTTTGATCTCCAATTTATGAGATATAACCCAAAATTGTTCTAAGTAGACTGCTCAGATATTTTGAATTTGGTATCATGTTCATACCAAAACCGATGAACAATTGAACATTCCTAAAGCTCATCGCGCTGTGTTAACTGAAAAACAAAACAAACACATGGGTTGATTCTAACTGTACTCTTTGCCTCTCTTCACCTCAAGGATGAACACTCCTAAAGTTCATCGCAAGTCCATCTTTTTCTCTAGCTATATCTGATCCTTAAAATTTCAAACCTAAAGTCAAGGTCTCGAACCTAACTACTCCAAATCTTTTAGACTCGCACCATTCTCTGTATAAGCTGCCATTGCTGATAATCCGTTTCGCCAAACACAGATTAACGATATTAAAAAGCTTAGTAACAATGGTGGCAACACATCTAAAGAAAACACATTTCTCAGTTATAACTCAAAGCATTATTATAACTTGGTATGCTGTTTTTTAAAAAAGAATTTGGTATAATATTTCATCTTCATAGCTCAACGGAGGCTGATTTTAACATTATAATCATCATTGTTCTATGTAAGACGAAGACAATGATAGATCTGAATTGCAAGGTTATGACTATAATGGTTCAAAGTATTATTAAAATATCTGATATAACTAACATTGATTCTTTATTTTTAAGTATTGTTGGCGATGACAAATATGAAAGGTCACGTTCATACATACTGCTTGCATGTAATAGAAAACATGATTATAATTAGGTGTGGATAAAACTCACATTAGATAAATAAAACTACACAAAACTATATGGGTAGTCAAATTATTCAAGACATCAGTCCAATGGCATACTAAGTAATTTGTCTAGTTTTGAAAAGGTTAAGATTAAAATAGGTTGAGAATTGCTCTCATAATAACACACTAGATTTTGAACCCGCACATCCGTGTAGGTAATCTTTCATTTACTAAATATAAAAATTGAATATAAGTGAACAATTTTATTTTTTGTAAAATTTATTACATAATTTACGAATTTTTATTTTTTTAAAAAGGTAAATAATATTTTAGTCACTTAAGTGGTGAATGATATTTTATTTATTTATTTAAATAATTTTATTTTTTTCAGAAAATATATTAGTTTACCAGTTTAATATAATTTTTATATCTAATTCATATATTGTTTCTATTTTAATATAATATAAACTATACTTATATCATTTATAAAATTAGCATATAATATATTATATTTTGTTTAAAATAAAATTTTAATTACTATTAATGTATAATAATATTATACTAATAATTACGAAATTAATCAGTGCATTAATTAAAAAACTATGGAAATTTTTAAAAATGTTTTGTTAGATTTTTTCTCAACAGATTTTAAGATTATTAAATCTAAAATTTAAAATTACAGTTAAAATAGATTTGTTATTAATATCTTTATAATTATTTAGAAATGTTATACATTAAATAAACTAATGTAAATAATCAAAAAAATGTAACTAAATATATAAACCTAGTATGGCTATTTTATAGTAGATAAAAATGGTACTTTTCTTTTAATAGAGAAGATGAAATGGTTCAACATGACTTTTGTACAGTAGATTTTTTGGTACTTCTCTTTTAATAGAGAAGATAAGCAAAAATGGCAAAAATATAAATAATTTACATTTTAAAGGTTACTCTTTTATTTTACTTCTCTTTTAATAATAAAAGGGATTTATTTTAGTCTTAAATATAAATTAGTAAATAATTTTTTTTTCCAAACATCAGCCAGGTGATTTACAAAGCAGGGAAAAATTACCTGTTCAAAATAACAGTCTGAATTTTCAAAATCCTGTCTTTCTTTAATTTTTAAAGAAAAACTTCCTAAAGATGATTAGTGTTTAAACACCGAAAGATGATTAGTGTTTTTTGGTCAAAAAAATGATTAGTGTTTCAAACGAAATAAAAATGTTCAAGTGTTGATGTATTTATAGAGAAGGCACTAAGGTTCAAAAAAGCTAAATTTAGAATTATAAACAGTTTAATGGTAAAACAAGTGGTATAATAGCCAGTAATTAAGGATTAACTTTAGCTACACATGTGGGATAAGAACAATTCACTAGAAAATGGTCATGTTTAGTGGTTGTGTTTTCTTCTCAAAATCCCTTGGTTAAATTAACTGTTTCTCCTCAAGCAGTCTAGTATTAGTTAGAAACTGTAATAGTTTGACCTGTCTATTATTGGCGGCATATGACCAACACAAGTCAATTCTCAAAAATTTAAGTGGCAAGAAAAAAAAGCACGATGAGCAAATGACATGGGACTTAACTATTCATATGAATCATCTTATATATTAAAACAGAAGTCACAATTTCACTTTATGTGTGATTTTTTAGTTTGTACCATCTTTATAAATTTTACATATGTTAATTATGATATTTTTTCATATCTTATTTTTATTGGAAATGTAAATAAATATTTGGAAACAGATTCTAACAAAATCTTTTTGCAATCTTTTAAAATCTTTTAGAAATATATTTCGAAAATCAGTTATTTCAAATTTTAATTATCATCAAATAGAAATATATCATAAAACTAAATTAAAATGATATATTAATATATTTATTTTCACAAATAGAAATATATATGTTAAAATAATATATTATGTTGTCAAAAAAGGGTAACATACTATGTATTACATGTATACAAATTAATATATCTTAAATTTATATATATACAACAATATATTATCTAAAATTAATATACATAAACAAATAACCATTTGGTTGACAAAACAAAATAAAAATTATTAAATATTTAAAAATGTGATTAATATATTAAAAATATATATACCCATAATAATGTAAACAAATATATATAAATGAAATTAAAACCCGCTCGGTTGAGCGGGTCAAAATCTAGTCTTATATATTAAAAGAGAAGTCATGATTTCACTTCATGTGTGATATTTTAAAATGGACCATCTAATAGAATTTATGACATTACATTATTCAATCATTAATAACATTCATTAGATTCACTAATAACATTTATTGGGCTTACTAGAATTTTTTATTGGACTAATAAAAATTAGATGATCCATTGGATTTATAAATATTATAATAAAATCTTATATATTAAAAGAGAAGTCATGATTTCACTTCATGTGTGATATTTTAAAATGGACCATCTAATAGAATTTATGACATTACATTATTCAATCATTAATAACATTCATTAGATTCACTAATAACATTTATTGGGCTTACTAGAATTTTTTATTGGACTAATAAAAATTAGATGATCCATTGGATTTATAGATATTATAATAAAATACATGTTTAAATTAACTTATATAATTTAATATTGTAATAGTATAAGTTAATTATTTATATATTTTTGATGTTAACTTTAAAAATTATATAGTTTATTTTTAAAAATAACAATATCATCATTTTCTAACAATAATTAATCTATAGTATATAATAATTAATTATCATTTTCGATATACACACCTTATATAATATATACCAATTTATAAGTAAAAAAATGTTTATATAAAAATAAATGAAAACAAATACCCGCGCGGTTGAGATCTAGTATCTCTTATATCATTAGATATTGAATTTCAATACCGTGTTTTTAACCGTCAATATCTTACTATATTAAAAGGTGCATATCCTCAATAGAGAGAGGATGTACACGTCAGATTAAATAATCCACCAATCATATACCTTTAATACTCCACGTCACTACCGGCTTAGATAAAAAAAAATCGATACGGTGAATCTTTTCGTCTCCTTCTCTACCATCAATATTCGCTTTACCTCTCTTCTTCTTCCTGCAATTTCGTTTTTAATAGATTAATTGCATAAAGCAATTATTCAATATTCCTGCCCTTTCAATTTACTTTTTGATTCAGTTGATCTAAAAGTAAAACTACTTATTGAAAAAAAAACTGTAAATTTAGTACCGCCGTTGACGACCGTCTTATCAATCTATTCACAACCAATCTCGGCTACTTATCGAACCGTTCCTCTGCTCAAGCTTCGCTTCATCACGAAGAAGAATCTCTCTCTTGTGAAGAATACCTCCGAACGAAAACCAGATCGGCAAACGGTTATAGCCGGTTCTGATCTCTTAGTCTTCAATAAGTGTGAAAATCTGCCAATGAGTATACGATCAGTTTGAGATCGCAATACTAGGCAGCTTTGATGAGGCGAATGAGGTAATATTCTCGCAGTACCTTTCTCTTCTTTTTTCTTCTTCTTTTGTGATTGTTCCTTGAAGAAGTAATGTCTCTTTCCACAGCTCCATGTAAATTTCGAAGTAGTTTGACTACTGTAGTCATCTCTCATTTTAAAACTTATACCCATGTGCTTTTCTGGGTTGTCTTACATTGTTTGTTTTGTTTTTAGGATGCATTTCCTGATACTATTGACATTATTCCAAGGTACATGAGATGCTCTGCTAAGAACAAAGTGGGACCGTAAAGCCATCTGATGAACTTTGTCATAAAGATGAGTATTTCTAAACTCTTTGAATCTGTAGAAAAGGTGAGTAATTTAAGGTCGTACCAAGTAATTGTTTAGAACATGAAACAGTGATTGGATTAGTTGGAAATATTAGTTTCAGATTAGCATTGTTGATTATGCATACATAACACGCTTAAAGCCAACTCAAGTTCATTATTACAGGTCCTTCTAGCGTTAAGGAGATTGAAAAGGATCTGGAATAGGATAAGATGACATTTGAGACAAAGCTAATCATTAGTTTTGCTACATCCAGAGACTTCAGTTAAGTCTCATATTAATTTTGCTATATCAAAAAGCTTTGCTAAAATGAAAATGGTGTCCTCTTAGCATTAATTTTCTTTTCATGTATTCAAGATATTTATCACAAGGAGCAAAACGTTTTTCATAGAGCTATTAATGCTTTCTAAATCTCATGATATTTTTTTACTCTCAAATTAGGGAGCAATGGGTTTTTCTTCACCTTTTCTTCTCTATCGTGGTCTTCATAGATGAATATGCAGAGGTGGCGGGTCTAGAATCTTCAAATCTCATTGTTGGAATTGATTTCACTAAGAGTAACGAGTGGACAGGTTTGTGAGGTTCAAATTTCTGTCTTTTTGGTGTAATGCATCAGATGATTTTGTTATTGTTGTTGATAACAGGAGCCAAGTCCTTCAATAGGAAAAGCTTATATTTCATAGGTAATAATCCAAACCCTCATGAACAAGCCATAACTATCATAGGAAGAACCTTAGCTGCTTTTGATGAGGACAGCTTGATTCCATGTTATGGTTTTGGAGATGCATCAACACATGGTCAAGATATGTTTAGTTTCAATCCAGAGGATAGGTTATGTAATGGATTTGAGGAAATGCTTTGTCGGTATACAGAGATTGTGCCTCAGCTTAAGCTCGCAGGTCCAACGTCGTTTGCTCCGATTATTGATATGGCTATGACTATTGTTGCGCAGAGTGGGGGTCAGTATCGCGTCTTAGTGATAATAGCTGATGGGCAGGTACGAATAACACTTAAGTGTTAAGAAAAGAAGCCTTAACTGACTGTTTTTTTTTCAGGTTACAAGAAGTGTTGGCACTGAAACTGGACAGTTAAGTACTCAAGAACAGAATACTGTGGAGGCTATCGCGCAAGCTAGGTTGGAACATTGTCTGATGTTTTATCTCTCTTTACTAGCTGATTATTTGATTTGATTTTTTTGTCTATCGTAGTAAGCTTCCTCTATCAATAGTCTTTGTTGGGGTTGGGGATGGACCATGGGATATAATGAGGGAGTTTGATGATAATATTCCATCCAGAGCTTTTGATAACTTCCAAGTAAGTTATTTATAAGCTAAAAACATCAAAGTTATCTTCAGTCTTTTGATATGTGTAAACGTTTGTTGTAGTCTTCATCATAAACATCAAAGTTATCTTCAGTCTTTTGATATGTGTAAACGTTTGTTGTAGTCTTCATCATAAACATCAAAGTTATCTTCAGTCCTGTCCCAAAGGAAAGTCGTCCACTAAGCCTTACATTTCCCTACACAATATGTTGCTTGCACACGCTTCTGCGACAAACTTATACAAGTAACAATTCCAGGTTCTTCTTCTCCTTCTGTGTTCATATGCACTACTGTGTTTAGCTAAGACAGTATCTCCACTTTATTACACAGCAAAAGCAACATGGATCGGCCCTAACTAACTCCAGAAGATACACATGCAACATCTAGATTCGATGACTTCTTTATTGGATGGTAAGCCTAATAATCAAATTGTGAAGCATCTACTATATTTTATCACTCAGTTTCTTTGTTTGTTTTTTTTTTGTAAAGGACTGAGACAATGAAGACCATAGTTGGGTCTAGATTATCCGTTTTTGCAGAGGATGAGTTGGAACAAGATAAATTACATGACACTTTACGTCAAGGAGAATAAGTCTTCTCTCAGAAAAAAAATCTCCATGATTTCAACACATACATGGCTGTGGAATTGACCCGCAAGTTATATGATATTGTGGAAGATTACAGCTAACGATGTGGCTCACTGATTGCTTCAGTTTGCCTTGCAGTGTTTGGAAACACATCTTCAAGAATGAACCTCAAGGATCCTAATCTTAAGAGGGAGCCTAAACTCTGCTCGGGGGAAGACTTCACCGTCGACCGCATGTTTTAGTTATCTGATCATTGAATTCCAACTATGATATGTGTTTGAAATAATCTCTGAGCTCCAGCTGACATGTGTCTTGCTTCTGAAGCAAGATTTATATCATAAACCTTTTTTTGTCACGAGACTTAAATGTGGTCTGAATCAACTTTTATGTCATTGTGTTAGTTCATATTTTCCACTAACATAATATGCCCTTCACTCACTACAAATTTCATTTAATGGAAATGCATTCTCTAAACTGGCTTAGGGATATAACACTATTAAATTATAAAAGAGTAAACTACATGGTATATAGACAACCATATACAACTTATTTACTAAGTAAATTTACATATATACACTCAAGAATGACTACAAATATATGTCATCAAATTATATTGTATATCTGTGATAGTTATTTTTTTGTCACATGAATATTTTCATGATACTTCATTCTTCAAAAAAAAATAGTAAACAAATTTATAAATAGCATAAACACTACCAAAAAATATCGAATCCTTTACAGAATAACAAAAAACTGATGGTAAGAAATTGGAAATAAAAATTTCTTGCAATTAAAGAATAAGGCAATAAAATTAAAACAACTCAAAGTAACAACAAATATACCCAGAGAGCAAGACTTAGTAACATACATTCATAATATAATTTCCAAAAAGTATGTACCAAAATAAAAAACACAAAAAGCAAGACACTGTAAAATACATTCACTACTAGGTGATTTTCCCGTGCTCATGCACGGACATAAATATTTAAAATAAATATATTATAATAATTGATTGATATTTACTTCAAATTTAAAATTAATTTATAATTTGTAGATATAATTTATATTAATAATATTACATTAATTATATATAATTTTAGATATGTTATATTTCGTCAGTTTTCTTGTTTTTACGGTTGATGTAGTTATCATTGAGATATATTAGATTCTATCTATTTCTCTGAATTCAACTATAATCTTTTTTATTCTAAATATATTAAATTTTAGATTAATTGTCTTATTTGCATTTATGCCGGTTGTTATCTTAGAAATATAAGTATATCCTGATTCTAAATTACATACTTAAGTAACTAATAAAATTTTGCAAACTAATGAACACATATCAATATTTACAATATTTAGACTGATTAGATGATAAACTGAAATTTATTTTAAATAATTTTAAAAATAAGGATTCTGATTTGTTTAAGTATTTTGATTATGGTTATATTAAGTTCCACAAACATAAAAACAGAAAATTAAAAATCAAAAGAGTTATTAAAAAAAACATATAATTTTAACTATTAAATATATAATATATCTACTTCGATAAATTATATAATGTTATGATATTTTAAGATAATTGTAGTTATTTGATGAAAAAATGTTTATTATTTAAATTCATTTTTAGTTTTGTTTTAATATCTTTTAAAATATGCAGTAAAAATGGTATTGTTTTTGAGAAATTATATTATATAAGTAAATAGAATTTATATTTTTTTCTGTAATTGTAAGATATTATAGTCAAAAATATACTAAAATAAAAATATATATATTTCAAGAATACTAATTATAATTTTTTTCAATTAAACATATATCATTTTATGTTACTTAATTATTTTATGTAATCATCTAATAAAATATATATATACAAAAAAATACTTCGAAAATATATATATTTATTGTTTAAAATTAATTTTTAAAATAAAAAATATCTCTTTTTCTAATATAAAGATTAGTTGTGTGAACTTTTTTTATGGAATCACATTATATACAAATATTGTTTTTCATCTAAGAAGATATAGTTATAAAGTATTTTATTACTTCAAAATTATATTTTATGTTATTTAAAATATATTTAAATTAAATATTACTATTTTGTGAACTTTCCATTTTTATGGAACCATGTTTATATATACTTATATTTTCGTTTTAAAGAGTTTTGTAAACTTTATACATGTTTCCTTTTTATTTTATATAGTTATTTGGAAAAAAAATTAAAATAAAATAATAATATTTAAATGTATTTTTAAAATTCATTAAGGGTATCATAGTAATCAACCAGCATGAGAGTTAACGTGAGCGCAACACATAAGAAAGTGACTTCTCAAATAATATTATAGAGATATAATTTCCATAATTTATGGTAAAAAGTATTTTATTAGATAATTGTGTTACTATTTTTTTGTTAGTTACAATAGAAACATGTTTGACAATAATAATAATAATTATATGCTATAATGACAATAAGAATAATAATTTCATCCATAAATACCAATGAACTGCATAGAAAATAATAAAATATTTACTTGAAGCTGGTAACACGGAAAGTATATTTTGAATTAAAAAATAAGTTAAATAAAAAAATGAGAAAATTCACATATAAATTAAAAGTTATTAAACATAACTAAAATAAATACGTTAAATATAGTGATGCATATCTATAGAGCGAAATATAGTTGGGTCAATGTTATAAAACAAAGAAATTTACCAAGAAAAATTTGGAAATGACATCGAAAATACAATTGTTATTCTATTATCTGAGACGATGATTAAGAATAAAGCTTCCTTAAATTTTTTTTATGTGTTGTATTGTAATTTCTTCATTTGTATTTGCAATTGGTTGTATGTTTATTATTTTATTTATAATGTTACATTATATATAATAGTCTTTAAGGAAAAAAGATGACAACAAAGACTAAAAGTTTTTTTTTTCTTTTTTTTTTTGCAAGTTGCTAATAGACTATCATAGTTGTTTTGTGTAACTATTTTTGATTACTATATTATTTAAGATTCATATAACATAAGAGAATTCTGCATTTAGTCCGAATAATATATTTCATTCAAAAATGCTTAAGTTAAGATGACTCAAACATATAAACATTAATTATTTTTCAATCAATAATTCTTACAAATAGGTTTGAAACATACAAAATAACACATATAGCCATATTTGCATTGGTTAATCACTTAAGAAAATTAATCTTATCTTATAAATATGGTAGAATTACGATAATATAATGATCAAAGTGGCTATTGCATGTTTACATATATGCTTCCAATTTCATCGTACTACTGCCGTAAAATATAGTTTTAATCCTTTTTCGTTTCTCTCCCATTTATTTATTTTCTTGGCTTCCGCTTACTATAATTATGTAAACATGTACGTTTTCCTCCAATTTGGATAAAGTTAAGAATAACAACAAGGTCATGGTTTCCAAGGGCTACACCTTTGCACCATTTGGAGATTATAATGCTTTTACCACAAAACTTTACATGTAGAACAGAGTAACTCACCTGATTTTGATTTATCTCAATCAGTCAATCATTTTTTTTTGTGAGGTGGTTCAAAGAAGGGACAAAACGTGACTGTAACAGCTTCAGCAACAAATCATGGAAACAATCCTGGTAAATTCTTCTTCTTTTAAATCGTGTGTGGGAGCACATAAATCTTTTCTTAATATACACATTATTGAGAATTGAACAAATTTAATGGGGGAAATGTTACTTGGAAGTTAAATTATTATTTGTTCCTTCATTCAAGGCTCGTGCTGCGGAGTAGAAGTCGTAATGTGGCTCTAAAGATAAGTTAGTAGTGGGTAGATCAAGGTGAAAATGATATGGATGCATACGCAACATATAAAATGGTGGTCGAACTGTCTATTAATATGTGTTCATGTTGATTCCAAGCATGGAACATGAAATAAAATTCTTCAAACACGACAGAAGAAGTAAGTCACAAAAGTTAAAAGTGACATCTATTGTATCAGACGAAAAGTAAAGAAATATTTTCAATGGAAAAAAGAACTAAAAAAAAAACCTACGGGTTTGTACATCCGATAATTCAATTTCGTTTGTGTAGTTTTCATTACCAGAATGATATAATCATATTAGGGAACTTAGTAAAATACAAATAGAGAGAACAAAAAATTATAAATTCAAATTTATTTCTAGGTTAGGATTTCCTACATTCTAATTCTCAGTTACATTATGTATATAAAAGGATAAACTTTCACAAAAAGACTTTAATTGAGATCTCTAAAACAAGTGAACAATACGATTTTTATTAGATATGTGAATAAAGATGATTTTATATAATTCTAAGTAGTAATCAAAACATCATTGTAAGTAGCATTAATCTATGTAGAATCTAAGAGCCGTAATGATTTTATAATACAGTAACTTAGAACTCAAAAGTAAATAAAAATGGAAATTCAGTGATATAAAGCAAATAATACAAGTCAGTTGTAATTATAATAGTTTGTTTTCATAATATCTCAAATATAAAAGATAAGAAATATTTGGATCTTCGACTAAAAAAAATCTTTTGTTCATAA